TAAAAGTAGGGTCAATCGCCAAAGAAAACTCAAGGAGATGCAGAAAAAAGTGGTGTTGGTGACTCAGCAGGTGACATTTCTCTGAGGCCTTGATTCAGAAAAGCACATGTGCAGGTAGGTGCTCAACGTCAAGCACTTGCTTATGTCCCATTGAAGCACTTTGCTGAATCAGGACTAAAGCAATGCTGAATCATAATGCAAGGGGACACTGTGATGCTGGATTTTGAATGAGATAAAATGGAGTCCTGACCACTCATTTGGCATGTCAATTCCAGCGTCTAAGCCCAACCAGCAGATTACATTCTGCCTTCTTAAAATTCTCCCAGTAATTTCAGCTGGAGTCTTATTCTTCCTTTCCTGTTCTGTGCTATTAGGTAGTACATTGGAACAGTTCCCACAATTCATCCCAGAGGGTCTGAGTAGCAGTGGGTGGAGAGATTTTCATTATCTATAGAAAAGCATTTCAGAATCCCAGCTGGATAAAAGCTATTATATTCTGTTTGCCACATTTGAGGAGAACAGGTAATTACAGTACAAATTACATGGCACAGTCAACATGCGGATCATAAGCATCTCCGGAACATGAACGAAAGAGGTAACAGCTCCAGCACAGTTAGTTAAAAGCACTTTGTCCTTGCCCTTCATTCTATAACTCAGAATTCTCTTCAATACATCTTGTACTGTAGCTGCAAAAAGGACTGCAATTTGACCTTCCTCGGTTTGTTTCAAATAGCTCAATTTCCTAAAAGGACAGGAGGGGAATAATGGATGGGGCAAGCGTCAAGGTTGAAATGCATCTCATCTTGGCTATAGACCACAGGACGGATGGTCACGAGAAACCATTCCCAGGGCTAGATCCTCAGCTGGTGTAAAAATCACTGAAATCAATTTAAGTGAATGGGAGTTTGTTTGCCTGAGCAAAGACAGAACAGGAGCTGGATTTGCTCCCTAAATGGACAATGATTCACACAAAGTAAAACCCGAAAGCGGATATTTTTTAAAAGTTCAGCTATCAAGCATATTCATGCTGATATCTATCTAGAGTTAAGAGTATTCTAACTATCCTGTATAGTGCTTACGGGTCAGTATAGGATACCATTCCAGTTCCACAACTGCTCTCGTTCCCCTCCATTCACCTGGTCATTGTCTAGGGGATCCTTTTGTACAAACGCCTGGACGAATTCTTCTGGTCCAATGTAATTGAGCCTCTCCTACATTTAAAAAAAAAATGAAAGCAAGCAATCATTTCCTCTGCCAATTTGTATTTCAAACAGAAGCAAAAAGTAGGAAGAATAAAATTGTGGTTGGAAAATACATATATGAATGACCTGGCAACAACTTACCAGCTCTATGTGAGTCAGCTGCTGGGCTAACATGTAAGGGTCATTGCAGACAGTGATTATGTCCCTTTGTATGGACTGAGGTTTGGTCTTCAGGACTGTCAGTCGATCTGTGGATGTTGCATTGATTTTTGCAAGTACTTCTTCATACTGGCTAAGAGAGGCAAGTTTTCGGATCAGGCTCTGGATGATTTGCTGTACGTTCTTCCGATACATCTGCCATGACACAAGACAAGCAAAGGATATTCCCAGAATATGAAAGGCTATTAAATTCCTGATGGCACTAAGATAGCTTCGTTCTGATGGATATTCATTATCAACTTAGAAACTCTCAGAACCAAGTGTATTCTTACAGCAACCATTGCCAAATCAGTACATTAAAGAGCATGCATTTAACATGTAGTCCTTGGGAGTGTTTAATTTAAGGTTTGATTGCTTTAGGGATTCAGTGGTGTTCTCACCAGTCCAAGCCACAACAGAAAGGGAAAGTACCTTTCACCTACAGTGTAAAATGAAGCATTGTCCATCTGGGTAAAATACCATCTCCCACTGTTTAAGGCAGTAAGGAAAAAACCTAATCCATGAGTTTAAAGTGTAGTCATTCTATGATGCTACGGACCTAATTCTATTTTCTCTGGTGTAAATCAAGACTAATCCCATGAAGTCTAGGTCTGCTCCTATTAATGTCAAGAGGAGTCTTTGCCATTGGCCTCAGTGGAAGCAGTTTGCAAATCTACATACAGAGCTTTGCACAGGTCTTTAACATCAGTCGGGGAAATTAATCCACAGTTGAGCTAACAATAATTACAAAATGGCAGTCATATCTTCATTCACAGCTTAGTGAACGTCTCTCTGCTAAAAGGCAGGGGGTGATACGCCTGCTAAATTACTCTGATACTCTACAAAACACTGCCATCCCTGCAGCTTTCTCTTGGGACTTCAGGAGCATGAACATGACAATGGGAGGTTTGGCATGGGAGTGGCATGACTTTTGACCTGGGTGTGTGTGATATAGTCATTTAGGGCGGGGCGAAGAACACACGACAATGGGTCTAATCCATTATGGAACAATCTTATGCTCCTGATTTTCCAGCACAAACATATGCGCTCTTCGTTAGAGAAATGTAGTCAGTTAGGATGATAGGCTATGCAAATTAAAGAGTAAAAATATTTGAGGAGCCCATGATGTGTTTGGCAAATAGAATAAGGCATCATAAACCAACACAACTGGGACACTGATTGAATGTTGACCGTGTGTACCTGAAAACCCCGCTCACAGCCAAATCTGTGTCACAAGTAGGAAGATTTGGGAGCAATTTTCACTGCCATACCCACCTCCTTACACCCAAATTCAGGAACAGATCAAAATTGTTTGAAACTTGTTTTCAATCTGCATTATTGTTTCAGCAATCAAAGCAGAACATAAATGAGCAGTATTCAAAGAAACACAGCAAGAGGTTCAGTATAGGAACTGGCACCATTCCGGTTAAAACGGCAGAGAAGGAGGTATGTGGTTTTACCTCTCCCTCCGCTCTGGGGACCATTTCCCCCAGTCTGTCAAGCCAGTTTGTTGCAGATGCTCACAGTTTCAGCATCTTTTTAGATGTTTATGATGTACAGTGGACATTTTTATAAAAGACAGCCCTGAGAAATCCCTACGCTGAGAGCAACTATCGCAGAAATAGAGGCAGATAATGGGTTTCTACTTTCGAATTCAAGACACGGGACCTGATGGCACAACACATTTTTATATATGGCTGGTACAGCATCATTGCTTGCGACCAGAGATGAAACATATGCTGAACACATTACAATAGATGGATCTTCTGTCTGTAAGCAGTTCATCCCGCTGATTTGGATCACCCTAATCTTAAATGTCTTTAAAACAATAACATTCATAAGAATTCTTATGCAACTGTATGCTTGTCTCCCTCCCCTACAGGGCCACAGTTGAGCAAGGCCCTCAGGGAGGTGCCTTGTTTTTTGTGCAAGAGTAATCTCATTGACATCAATGAGACTTTTGCACATGCTTAAGTGCTTAGCTGAGTTAGGACCGCTATTTAGCATGCGAGATCTGTCGCTCGCTCTCTCTCACAACTGCATGATACTCTATAGACAGCTCTACCCCGATATAACGCTGTCCTCAGGAGCCAAAAAAAATCTTACCACGTTATAGGTGAAACCGCATTATATCGAACTTGCTTTGATCCGCCAGAGTGCGCAGCCCCGCCCCCCCGGAGCACTGCTTTACCATGTTATATCCGAATTCGTGTTATATCGGGGTAGAGGTGTATTTACCTTAAACCATGGAATATACATGATTTAACTAGAAACATAACTTAAAAAAAAAAAAGCCAGTCCATTTGTCAGTTTAATCACAGCTCAGTTTCCTCTCACCCAGTTGCGTATAAGTTGATGAGTTTTTGTAGTGTGACTTTTGATTCTGCATTTAAAAAAAGGCCTTATTATGTCTAAGTTCCCTCACCACACACATAAATAGCATGATCACATATGGAAGACTTACGTAAAACAGAAAGAGCTATACACATACTTTCTGTGCTACACAATAACAAGACAAATGCTTTGCAACTCTCACCCACTCAGCATATTTGAACTTTCCACATATATATCACCCCTTGGGCAATATACAAGTTTTATTTCAATTCATCAACCACATTGCTGACTTGTCTCTCCGCTCATAAGTTATGCAGCAACCCAAGTTGTGAAAAATAAGATTACTCTCATAACTCATGTTGTTCTGTGTCTCAGTTTTTCTGCAGGGCCCTTTCAAATATAATGGCACCATCACATTTTGGACCACTACTACTGAGTCTGTTATGGAACAATGAAGGGAGGAATCAAGCCTCGAAACAAAGGGATAATGTTGATATTGATTTATTTATTTTTAGAAAGTTTTGAGGGTTTGGGATTGTGATGGATATGGAGCCTTCCACCTTTAGGTCACCTGCTTATAGCTCGTCTACACGGATAGTGACTGAAAGTCATTACTATCTGATGGATGTTTGATGGTGTACATAAAGTGAGTTTGTGTTGTCAATCTAGATACAAGATATGGTAGGAAAAAAAAGGTCAATGCAACTCGGGGCTACAAATGTAGAGGCATCACATTGGGGTAATAGCCCCCTTCACACATGGCTCTCGTGAGACTGCACATGCTCATGAAGTATTCTATCATAAAGAAACTGCAAACTGGACAGAGACCAGGAAGAAATCTATTAGAAACTGGAGGGAATGACCCATGAGGAAAGATTAAAAGAGCTAAAAGGACACAGTTTTTCCAATGATGATGGGAGCGTTAACAGTCTAGAAATACTTGATGAGTGTAAAATCCAAGGAAGGAGAGGGGTAGATGTAGGAACAATAGAATGAAATTATGAAAGACAAAACTGAGGCTCAATATCATGACAAACCTAATGATAGGGAGCTCTAGTAGTCTGATGAATAATCTTGCAAAGGAAATGGAACAAACCTTACTCGTTTGCACATTTTGAACGAGACTGGATGAAAACCTCTAATAAATGTAGAACAGGGAACAATCCTATACCAGCAGGGATATGGCCTAAGCCTATTAAGTCAAGTCCATTTCTAGATCCTATGGTTCAGTCCCTAGTGGATAAATATCCACATCCCAAGATCCACTGCTGCAATCAGCATTCATTAGTATCTTCATCCACAGGAGCCAACTTTTTTCTGCGCCAGTGGGTGCTCACGCCCCCAGCCCCACCCTAACTCTGCCCCTCCCTGTCCCATTAGACCTCTCCCCAAATCCCTGCCATGGCCCCACCCCTTCCCCCAGCAGGCCACGCTCCCCCTCTTCCCCCCGTCCACTCCCGGGCTTGCCACGTGAAACAGCTGTTTTGTGGCCCAAGCACTGGGAGGGAGGGAAGGAGGAGAAGCAGGATGCGGTGGCCGGCTCAAGGGAGGAAGCAGAGGCGGAGGTGAGCTTGGGGGTGGGGGGGAGGAGGACAGGGACCTACCGGTTGGTGCAGAGCACCCACCAGTTTTTCCCTGTGGCTGCCTATGTCTTCATCTATCACCTCAGCAGGGAGGTCAAGCACTGAAAGAGCCACTGAGTATGAACTACTCTCTTGCTCATAGGGGTGGTTCCTTCCAGAAAAGTTTGGGGCATTGTGGGAAGCTTACCTTCTGTGTGGGGAAGTTCTATAAAGAGGAAACTCAGAGGTGAGAGAGGACTTTAGTCTCCATTACTATTAAATCACCACATTTCAGGAGCACTCCATAGCTGTATTTACTAGCTCGCTACAGTCTGCATTAGGCTCTCCGTGATAGGTTTTAATAGCAGTGACACATGGGACTTTGAAACAAAGAGCTAAACTGAGTGAGAACAGGAAACTGATTATTTCCCATCATTCAAGACCCTGGCTTGCACACACAATCCATGTGATACTGAACTAATCTGCAGTGCAGTTAGATAGAAGCAAGGTCCGAGTAGCCTGCATTCATCCTTCCAAGCAATCCACTAGCCAATTTCACTAATAATTTACTGCATGCAAAACTCCACTGTCACACTTGCTTTCCCCATCTTTTTAAAGGCAATCACTAAGCTATTCCGAGAAGCAGAGATGAAAGAGACCTATTAGATGATCCAGTCCATCTCCCAGCCAGGACAGGATTGCTCCCTACAGCACATTTTGTAGCATTGTGTCCAGTCTAGTTGTAAATGTATTAAGTGATGGAGCTTCTATCACTTCCCTGGAGAGATGAGTCCACAGACTAATACATCTCATTGCCAGAAACCCTCTCTAATATTCCACCTTTCCCAGTCTTAATTTCACTCATCTTCTTCAACTGGTACCAACTCCTTACACCACCCCAAGTAATTCCTCTCTCTCCTTTTATTTTATGTGCTCCAAATGCTAACCAAAATTATACATATTTGGTTATTTCAGTAGTCTTTCTCAAACCAATTCCTTTACGCCCCAAATCTTTCTATTGCCCTTATACCTATCTCCTAGAACTGGAAGGAACCCTGAGAGGTCATCGAGTCCAGCCCCCTGCCTTCACTAGCAGGACCAAGTACTGATTTTGCCCCAGATCCCTAAGTAGCCCCCTCAAGGATTGAACTCACAATCCTGGGTTTAGCAGGCCAATGCTCAAATCACTGAGCTATCCCTCCCTTTTAGTTCAAAGTTAAGCCAAATTTTGTTCTCTTCTGCCCTTGTTTTCAATCTCTCAAGGTAATTTTATGTCTTTAGCAGTATTTACAATTCCTTCCAATTTATTATCATCTGAAAAATTCATTAATTATGCAGAAGAGGGAGTAAACAGCACATTATGCAAGAGGTTATAAAAGACCGGGATGAACACCAGTCACTGGGAATGCCAATGAACATGCTGCCGTTTAGTCAGTATTTTCTGTTTATCTTTCTTCCAAATGCCACAATGGTACATGCTGTACTCTTTCCTGGACAATCCTGTCATGTGAGTATGTTCTCTGATGACACCTGCTGTACATCATACACCCGAAAGCATGCACTATCCTTAAAGGGACAACATTAACCTAAGACTCATTAACGAAACCACCAATACCACCCTTTCAAGAGTTACAATCACCACCACAGATTTTTAAAGATCTACATTAGATTTTAATATAGACTCTCTCTTCACTTTTCATACTGATTTTATTGTGTATGTGTCTCGCTTCTTTTAGATTTATCAGCTTTACAGGTATTTCTTGTTAGCCCTGTGAGATATAGGAAGTCAGAGCAGATGATCACGGCAGTCCCTCCTTTCCAGCCTTAGCATCTAGGAATTTATGAAAGGTTTCATGGTTTTTGTTTGTTTGTTTAAGGACTCTTCTTTTCATTCAACTTTTTAGAGTTCACCAAAACATTTTTATTCATAATTAAGGCTGCGAGTCTGTCACGGATTGCGTGACTTTCCATGGCCTCCGTGACTTCTGCAGCGGCTGGTGCTGGCCCAGGGCCTGTCCTGGGCCAGCAGCAGCAGTTTGGGTGTGTGGAAGGGGGTTCAGGGCTAGGGGGCAGAGGTTTGGGGGCCCCCTCTGGAGCATCTAGGTGGTGGAGGGGCGAGGTCTCCATGCCGCATGCTACCAGTGCTCAGAGGACCCGCCCCCACAGCGCCCATTGGCTGCGGTTCCCAGCCAATGGGAGCTGCAGCAACCGGCGCTTGTGGTGGGAGCAGCGGAGGAGCTCCTGCCCTGGCCCCTGCCTCTGACGCCTTGGAGCTTCAGGGACGAAGAGCCGGGTAGGGAGCCCCGCCAACCCTCCCTCCCCTAGCACCAGCGGGGGTCCATGCCACGCCCTCTGCCTCCCCCAGCATGGATCCTGGGTCACCTTGACCCCCTCCCCCAACACCCATGGCACCACTGGACCATCACCCGCTCCAGAGCATACACTCTTTCCCCCTCCCCCGCCTTCCCACCACTCAAGTTTTAGTCATGGTAGGTATATTTTTAGTAAAAGTCATGGAGAGGTCACGGGCCATGAATTTTTGTTTACGGCCCGTGACCTGTCCCTGACTTACTAAAAATACCTGTGACTAAAACATAGCCTTATTCATAATGGATTTTTTAAAGTGGTTTATAAAACCTAAGCTTTTGTGCCTGGTTCTATCTGGGTACTTATATGGGCTTCCTCAGTTTAGCATCTCAACACCTCACAAGAATTATCTCCAGCTGTGAACTAGCACACAGAATGATTAAGTAACTTGCCCAAGGCCACAAAGGAAGTTGGTCGGAGCCAGGAATGCAGCTCAGAACTTGAGTCGAAGGCCAGTGCCTTAAGCCAAAGCCAACTCTTCCTATCCTAGTTAATACTGTCCCTTTAGAAATGATCCTCCTTGACATTGCTATGCCTCTCCTGCGGGTTTTAAAGATCAAAGGCCTGATCCCGAAAAGCCTCCTCACATGAATTCAATGTAAAGGTTCACATCAGGAAGGATTTTCAGGGTCACACCCAACTTCCTCCTAGAAAACCTTAAAATAAAATATGGAACTAAAACTTACAAGCAGCGTCTGCTCACACAATTATTCCATTCCGTAGCCAAAAATAAATATTCTCCCAAGAACGCAATATGGATACTGGGACTCAGCCAGGAGTTCCCAGCACAAAGGGCTGGTTAGGACCTAGTTTTTTTTAAGGGTTCATCTGCACCTTAGGCACTGGACAAAAAATTACATTCACATTCATAAAATTAGCTCCATAAACAATGCTACCTACCCAGAGCTGCTACATACTGTTAATAAATAACCAGCAATATTTTACTCTAGCCAAGATATTAAACTAGTGCTTCCTTTCCACCCTCTTGTGCTCAAGATAACTACCTCATCGCCATTGGCTATTCGTTGTGCCAACTCCTTTAAGTTTCTCATCATTCTTTCATCTCGAAAATCATACGGAAACGTCTCTGTCCACTCAGTCAATAGCTGAAGGATTTTGGGTGCAATTTTTCGTATCCGGCTCTAGAAAAAAAAAAGTTATATGAAACAAATATTGAAACCAATTGAATTACAATCTACTCATTATGGATTACTGCAATTGTGGAATATAAGGACATGGAAGTCAGTTAAAACTTGAAATGTAATTTAACTTGGCATTGGATTAAATATGCCAAAGCACATTAACTTCATTGGGTTTTGGACCAGTCCATCAGTGAACTGGCCAATTTAAAAAGAGTAAATGCTATCAGTATAAGAAAAATCCTAGATGCTAGATATGGTAGTGTCTCCAAAAGCTACTATAAACATTATCTAACAATTAGTTATAACATCTGCAGAAATGCCTAAGGCCTCAATTCTGCAAAGACTTATACACATGCTTAATTAAGCAGGAGTACGAACTCCGTGGGACTACTTACATATATTTAATGATTGTTAATGATTTACACTGTGATAGCCTAAGAGCCTAGTCATGGACTAAGACCCCATTGTGCTAGTTGCTGTACAGACCAAAAAAAGACAGTCCCTGTCCCAAAGAGCTTACTATCTAAGTAATCCTGCAAGCCTCAGGCAGGTGCTTAACCTGAAGCATGCAAGTAATCCCACTGAGTTCACACGCATGTGCTTAACGTTAAACATGTGCCTAAGTCTTTGCAAGATTGCAGCCTAGCATGTCAAGATGTATATAGCTCATCTTTAGTACCATATGCATTTTAAAGTACGATCTCATATATATTATTAAATATATGCACTTCTTTTTCCTACTCTTTCTTTTATTAAAACAAGTTAAAACTAAAAGTTACTTATAGCGCACTGGGATTTTGGAAGTGAAACAAATGTCTCAGCAGAGATGGTTTTCATTCATTAGGGTTCTGTTGAATTCAGTGCCAAAACCTCCCCTGGCAGAATCAAGCCGCAAATCACACTTGCTAATGATTGGTTTTCAGTATATCCAATCCTGTAGCAAGCCCACTGATCAGAAGTGTTCTACCTTGGCGTAGAAAAAAGCATTTTGAGTCAGATTTACAAAATGAGACCTAACAGGTTTAGCAAGAGACCTAACCTTGTCAGTCCCAGGCTCGCTTAGTCTCTGATGCTCCGTGCACAAATGGCAAACCTTGGCCATTAGCTCATACGGGTGCATGAACAGCCGTGAACTGAGCAGGAAGGTGAATATGTACGTTCTCTGTAGGCAAGAGAGAGAGAGGCAAAATCATCACGCATTTCATACTCACCACTACAACATTACTTTCAACTCAATTTTTCATGTTTTATCATTCAGAGCGCAACTTTGTGTATGGCTTGTGGGGAGAATGGCTGATACTACCGCAGAGGTAAGCGCTTAATTGTAACGAATGTCACCTCTCCATAGCCACTACAGTATTACATAGCCACTACTTGAGCCTAATTACGCTAGACAAAAACAAGGCTGGCCCATGGCAGGGCAGGGCTCGCTTGATTATCCCTTTGTGACAACAGTATATAAAAGTTCGGCACCTGGAATTACTCAGAGCACAATTTCAGCTCCTCTTCCCTTGCTCTGCAGTAAACCTTTGTGACCTAAACTAATAGGTCACACAACTCATTCTAGCAGAGTGATGGAGTATAGCTCAAGAAACAAAATCCAAGCTAGATGCAATGCCACTGTGGGGCATAAACAGTAAACAGGGATGTACAGCAAAAAATAAAATACATTTTGTGGCCCAACTTTGTTACTATGAACTCAACTCTATGAACTCAGCAGAGCCATTTAGATTGTGGTTGGCATCATTCACCCCACCCCCATTACGGGGCCATTCCCAATAACAAAAATTACATTTTGCTTTTCCCTCCAGATTCCTCCCATTCAAAGGTGTGTCAAGCACAGCTGATTTAATTTGCAGGGTGTATAGACTTACATCAGGATAGTAATCTACATTGGGTACTAAGTGCTGGATGAGGGCTTCCAGAGACCCTGACAGGAGATTGTTGTCATGGTAATAGAGTCCTCCACAGTTGTCCTCTTTTGACTGATACAGGTTTCTGTTGTAACCACTGCTGTCAAACATAGCTGCAAAGGGAGGTGTTTGTGGCATACTTTCCTGAAGGAAGGCACAAAAGAGACACACAATAAAGTCAGAACAGGCCTTTGACACCCATTTCAAAAGACTGTATCACAACAGCAGTCTAAGGAAATAAAACCCTGACACAAAGTGATAAAAGCTAAATCATCTCTCACACACAAATCCTACTACACCTGAACTGCCCTGAGATAAAACTAATTGCGAGTGGTGCCCTTGCTTTATCTGTTACGATTATGAGGTAAATTTTGCTTTTGTTTTTTGTCATTTCTTTGTCACCTTATCGGGAGAAGGCAGATGTTAGAAATGGGATCTATTGGGCAGGGGGTAGTTAGCAGCGTGCGGGAGGGGTTGGGGAGGAGAGTTGTTGGTGAATGTTTTATGAATTAGAACTTTCTATAAAACCTATTTGCTATATAGTGGCAAAAATCTGTGACGGGCCAAATTCTGCCTGCAGCATACTTGGATGAGCATCCACTTTGTCCAATAAGACCCCTGCATATGTGACCAAGGGGAAAAATGTAGACCGTCAACATTTAGGGGAACATTCCACTACATTACTTTCATTCTTGTTCAGTAGTAAATTACTACACCAATAGTGCCACTGAAGCCAGTAGAACTACCTGTGGAAATAGGTGGTCATCAACAAAAATAAGGGATGCACAAACTAGCCCCTGAGCAGCGAAGGAACTGGAATGAACATTTTAAAATTTTTGGGTGTCCAAAGTCCAAATCTGAGTTTGACAACTTGAGCTTCTTTCTATATTAAATGAAAACCAGAAAAGGTGGCATCTCAGCCACAGAGAACCAAAGCCCCTTACCTCACAAACAACCACCCCCCTCTCCCCCACCTTAATCAGTCAGCACTATGCCATCAAAGTTGAAGGGAGGTGGGGGGAGGAGGAGAATTGTACTGACCACCCAAAGCCTTCTCAGTTGCACTGTATGTAGAAAAGCTAGAAGATAAAGCTTCTGATTATTTTAAATCTGAATTTCCCACCTCCTCCACACAATCACTCTTGGAATAGCTGCTCTCTGGCAGTTGGTGGAAATGTCTGGTTTTCATCCCTGATTGCAAGTTACCGTCACACCCAAGTTCCATCATAATAATGTGCTTCTATCTACCTGGATAGTAGTTAACACGCAGTAAGTTCTAGCAAGCACGTCACATTCTGAGACCAAATAAACAGAGCGGCAATGCAGTAAGGTATCACACAGCTTCTATTCCTTTCAGCAATTACGAGGTAAGGGAGACCAAGTCCTACAGCTAATTTGCACCGGCTGCTGTGCATGTGGGTTGGCAGAGCACGTGTGCGTGAGTCTATGAAAAGCTTTCATGCCCCTGAGCCGTCATTGTAAGTGCAGATGCTGTTGCTTTTCTCTCCATTGTGTCAAATCCTATATGGAAAGAAACTCTCTTTCAAGCCACACTCTTCAGTCTGTGAAGGCACCTGATTTCGAGAACAAGTAGTAATGTGACAGCCTGGAGATAAGTAGCTTCTCTCCATCTGTGTGCTCTGCAACTCATAACAAAGCACTTTTTCAGAGTGAGCTCAGTAGAGACTAGAAGCTATTAAGTTATTAGCTAGATTCCTGGGGACATAATGCACTGCACACAGAGCCAAAGACACTCTGCTTCTGGCAGCATGTCCAGACAATGGAGGCATTCAAAGCAACAGAAGACTAAGATTCAGTAAGTAAACAATAAGAGAAAGCCAAATTCTGTTGCTTAGCAGAGAGGGATAGTGAACGGAGGCTCCTGGCCTACATGACCTGCACTAATCCTGCTTTTTCGAGATGCCAAAAGATATTAGCATCAAAATGGAGTGGGGGAGGAGGCTCCGGGTCTGAAAAGTCACATTAGTCACTCCATGCAGCTGTTCAACCAGGGATCTGATTCTTTCCAGCACAGTGAATTGGGAAGGAAGAGGAAAAAGAATAAAATAATGCACGTGCCACAGCAGAAGGCGGCAAGGTGCAGAACTCTTGCAAACAAGATTCCTTTATTATGGATGCACAGCAGGTGATACGCAGGCCGTATCACAGCCATCTTTGGCAGGATAAAGCATTCTGAAAGACTGTCTCTGAAACTGTTTGCCAAGCTAGCCTGGTCCCAGGAATAAGGAAAGTTGATGAGAGGAGCTGGATGAAATGTGGCCATTTGAGGTGCAGATACTATGTAAACATATTCTGTGTTTTCACTTTGTGTACAGTCCCACCCAAAGTTTTACTCTGATTCTTTGAATTGGATAAACCCAAGAACTCAAAGAGAAGCTTAGACAAAATGTACGGCTTTGCATGGGTCTTAAATCCCCTAGTTTTGCTGAAAGGTGTCTCAAGTTAAAGTTTATAACAAAATCCAGAGGCAGGAGAGTTGTGTGTGGTTTCAAGCTATTGTGGTGACAGTTTCTTCAGCTCTAACTCAGAAGCCAATTAACTACTGACAGAGGAAGCAGCTGCTGTGACTGTCCCAGAGCAAGGCATTATGTTGTATACTTCTAGCCAGACAGGAGAGAAAGACCATCAAGTCACATTACACAAGTATTCCAAATAACTGTGTAAGTGCTGCCATTCACACCAAAACATCCAAAGACCAAATTCCCCCAACATACACTTAATGGAGAACGCTGAGGAAGCCATGATTTGGTTCTGCAAAACCACTCTTCACCAAGTTTCTGGATTCAAAAACAAACATGGCCGTTTGTTTGAATCCAAGTCCCATTTTATCCAAGTCACTCAAGTTTAAGGCTTGAAAGAGAAGTTAACGTTTCGTCCCATCTGACCAACACATATTGGTTTTGCATATCCTAATTCCCAGTCAGATAGATTTTGGTTCTGCAAATCAAAATCAGAGATGTTTCAGATCAATGTCTCATTTTACCACCAAATTTTGGAGGTGCTGTACAGTTTCAATAAAAATGTCCAGTTTCGGCACATCACTAAGCAACTAATAACGATTTAAATAAAAGCTTACTAGAGTAAACAGGCAAAAACCAAGAGCATGCTTTCCTCTACAGTATGCATTTTTTTTAAAAAGGCACAATAAAAATCAAAGCTAAGAAAGCGGCTTAAACTTCAGTAACTAACTCCCAAGGGAAACAGATTTTATTTTGTGCTTTAGAGCCTCTAATTCTTAGCACGATGAGTGCCACCAGCATTGTTCATGTCAGTTTGTTTCTAATGGATACTAAATTTAAGACCTAGAAAAATTATTACAGTGACTATATGAAGAGGAAAAAACCATCAAATCATTAATAATTGACTATTAACAATGTTATAAACCACTCGGTCAAAGGTCAGAAATTGAGGTGTGTGTGTGTATATATATGGGTGGAAAGGAATGTGACGTTATGTGTACTGACTGTCTCTAAACTACTTAGAGAAGTTTCCTGCCCCAGACAGCTCAGTTCTGTCTCAATGAAATGTCAAGCAGTATTGAGTAAGAGATGCACTGTATACAGCATATTTAGACAGACGAGGATTTCGGTGTAAGTGAATGTGACACAGAACACATTGTCCATGTGACAAAATGGAGGATATCAAAGCATGATGGTGATAAATATAGTCTATCCAACAGGATGACTCACATAACATATGCACTTTTCCAGCGTGATTTATTAACCTTGATCGTGTCTTTGCTGCATTTAGTGAGGAGGTACAGATAAAAAGCATTCTACTTTGTTCTAATTTCCCCTGGATCTGTATAATGGGACCAAATTCTGCCTACTGACTTCAGCAGAGATGAATAAAAGGAAGAGAGCAGAATTTGGTCCATGAAGTATAGAAACAAGTAGGATGGGTGTCCTAGTATCTACAAATATTGGTACACTCTACAAAGTAGAATGGGCTTTTAAAAGAAGAAGAAAATATTAGAATTGGGATTGAAGAAGTGATGCAGCTGAAAAAAATTGCGAACCTTCACCCAAATTAAAACTGAACATTTTTACTAAAGTTTGGTTAACTTTAAAAACAACATTTGTTGTTGCTAGGATGAAGGATGGTCTTGTGATTAAGGCCCTGGACTGAGATATGCGTTCATTTCCTGGCTTGGCAACACAGACTTCCTCTGTGACCTTGGGCCAGTCACTGAACCTCTATGACTTGGTTCACCACCTGCAAAAGGAGAACAATACTTCTTTTCTTCTATCTTTTGTCTCATCTACTTAGATTTGCAAACTCTTCAAGGAAGAGACTTGCTCTTGCTGGGGTGTCTGTAGAACATATAGCATAATGGGATCTCAAGCTTGATAAATAATAGTAAGCAGCTTTCATGCGAGTGTAATGCCAGAAGCAGGAAAACACATGAGCAAAACTAGCAATTCCCGTAGTAGCCCAGCTCTAATTTGGCAAACCCAAAAGATTCAAATAAAGCTTCCACGTTGTTGCATAGGGCTGGTCAGAAAACAAGAATTCCATTTTGCAAAAATAATAAATAATAATAATAATAATAATTGGAGTTTTCAAAGTTTGGTTTTGTTCTACCCTGGAACGAAACAAACCTCTGGAAATTTTTCACACAAAACATGGGAGACACCCATACTCATACAGTACCACCCCCACGCCACCCTCCCCAGAATAGGCAACAGCCCAGTGGTTAGGGAGCTCACCTAGGATATGGGAGACCCACATTCAAGTCCTTATTCCAAATCAGGTAGAGCGGGGATCTGAAACTGGGTCTCCCACATTCCATGTGCCCTAACTACTGAGTGCTGGCTAATTAGTTGTGGGGTATCAGACTCACTCTCTCTCAATTCAATCCTGAGAAACCTTCCTGATGAAAGTTTCATCAAAGCAGATGTTTCCTTGAAAAGTTTCAGTTTCAATCAATCAGCATTTCCTGACAATATAAACGTTTTGTCAAAAAATTCCCAGCCAGCTCTACTACTGAGTGAGTCTGATCCAACCCTCAACAACAGAAAAGAATTAGCTTTTCACTGGCAATCGTAGTGGACAGGGTCTGTTTTCGTTGCTCTTCTAAGAGACCAGTTTGCACATCATATCTACAAAATAAAGTCAGCCTGTGTCTGTGTAGAGGGAGTCACTTCAGAATTCAATACTAACCTGATACAGATGGAAGGCACACTACAGTACTAGCACACTTTTGATTTTTGCTCACATTGCACTACTTCAGCCAAAAGACAGTAAGATTGAACACAAGGAAGACCACCGAATCTTTACCTTCTTATGCAGGAAGCAGATCTGCAGTCATGCCTCCCTAAAACTACTTCAGAACTCAGGCCACAATCTCCTTTCAGAGCTTCGCTTCCCAACATGCTGAAAAATAGGCTTTCGATAAGAGATAGGCTGCTATAAACTTTGGGGCTGGTAAAAGCAAAGGAGTATGAGGGCTGTAGTAAAGAACATTAACATTATCTTTTCCAGCTGGGAAATGATGTGGACAAGTTAAAATGAGCTTTAACTGTGACATGACGGAAGGAAGGAAGGATTAGAGATCTGACCACAAAGTCTGCCCTTATCTTACTTTTTTGGTCTGTATTTGTGACAAGTGCAAACATTTTATACAAGGTTGTAGTGCCACCAAAAAGAATAGTTTACCAGCCGTAGAGAGCAACTTTTGAAAATTTGAGATGAAAGACTACCTGGGGAGAGCAAGCTTGAAATCCAATAGGTCATGCTACTTTCAGATGAAACTTAAAAGATCATAGAATTGGAAGGGACCTCGAGAGGTCATCTAGTCCAGTCCCCTGCACTCAAAACAGGACTAAGTATAGACCATCCCTGACAGCTATTTGTTCAACCTGCTCTTAAAAATCCCCAATGATAGAGATTCCACAACCTCCCTAGGCAATTTATTATAGTACTTAACCACTCTGACAGTTCGGAAGTTTTTCCTAATGTCCAACCTAAACCGCCCTTGCTGCAATTTAAGCCCATTGCTTCTTGTCCTATCCTTAGAGGTTAAGGAGAACAATTCTTCTTCCTCCTCCTTGTAACAACCTTTTATGTACTTGAAAACGGTTATCATGTCCCCTCTCAGTCGTCTCTTTTCCAGACTAAACAAACCCAATTTTTTTCAATCTTCCCTCATCGGTCATGTTTTCTAGACCTTTAATCATTTTTGTTGCTCTTCTCTGGACTTCCTCCAATTTGTCCACATCTTTCCTGAAATGTGGGACAATACTCCAGTTGAGGCCTAATCAGCGTGGAGTAGAGCAGAAGGATTACTGCTCGTGTCTTGCTTACAATACTCTTGCTAATACATTCCAGAATGATGTTCGCTTTTTTTGCAACAGTGTTACACTGTTGACTCCTATTTAGCTTGTTATCCGCTATGACCCCCAGATC